TCCCTGTGGCAGCTGGTTCTCATACACAGGGTTTTTCCTGAAACATAGGCATACTTGTAGACACACAGGATATATAGACCCAAATACAAAAATTGCAGAGATCAGTAAAGAGGTTAGACTGAGGGGGAGCAGGAGTAGGAGTTAGCCATACACAGTCACAACAGCATCCCAGCAAGTGAGGTGGTAGCATTTTTTGCCCCAGAAACCTTTGATTTAAAGTATATACACTTCATTGGCCGGCGCCGCGGCTCACTAGGCTAATCCTCCGCCTAGCGGCGCCGGCACACCGGGTTCTAGTCCCGGTCGGGGCGCCGGATTCTGTCCCGGTTGCCCCTCTTCCAGGCCAGCCCTCTGCTGTGGCCAGGGAGTGCAGTGGAGGATGGCCCAGGTGCTTGGGCCCTGCACCCCATGGGAGACCAGGAAAAGCACCTGGCTCCTGGCTCCTGCCATTGGATCAGCGCGGTGCGCCGGCCGCAGCGCGCCGGCCGCGGCGGCCATTGGAGGGTGAACCAACGGCAAAGGAAGACCTTTCTCTCTGTCTCTCTCTCTCACTGTCCACTCTGCCTGTCAAAAAAAAAAAAAAAAAAAAAAAAAAAAAAAAAAAAAAACAAAAAAAAAACAATAAAGTATATACACTTCATGCATTTCATAAATACAAATTTAGGAACATAGTGATTCTTCCCACCCTATCTGCTCTCCCACTCACACTCATTTATGGCATAGCTGGATATCAATAGACAGGAATGAGGTCACTTCATTTAGGGGCTCCCCTTGGAAGTTGTTCAATACAGTTCCATCAGCTGGCCATGTGCATTGCTCTATTCCCAAGAACACATCCCAAGGGTCCCAAGAGCTCTTTTAAATTCTCAGTTAAAGAACAGCTGTAACACAGTAAACTCATAGACTGATAATCACTTTAAATAGCACTGTGACCTCAGATTCAGCTCTTATGGCTTTCTGGTCTGGCTGAAAAGCCCATGATAGCATTTCAGGCATGGAAATCCAAGACACTATGGCAAAAAAAATGTCCTACAAGAAGGATCTCTGTGAAAGAGACCCAAGAGGAAAGAAGTGTCCATCAAAGAAGGATGTACTTTTTCTGAAGGGAGGAGAGAACCTCCACTTTGCTTATGGCCTTATCTAAACATTGACAGAGTTTGTATTCACAAAAGGCTTCCATACCTTTGGTATCTCATGTCAAGACCCTTGGGTGATCACTGATGTCATACATAAGAGTGTTAATTGTTAAATCAACAACAGGAGTCACTATGCACTAATTCCCCATGCAGGACTTCTGTCCTCAATGAGTTGTATTATGAGAATTAACTGTAAAACCTGTTCTCAAACAGTTTGTGTGTGTGTGTGTGTGTGCGTGTGTGTGCAAATTGTTGAAATCTTTACTTAGTATAGAGTTGGCCTTCTCTGTATAAAGTTAATTGAAAATGAATATTTGGGGGGCCGGCGCTGTGTCTCAGTAGGTTAATCCTCCGCCTGCATTACTGGCATCCCATATGGGCACCAGTTCAAGTCTTGGCTGCTCTGCTTATTATCCAGCTCTCTGCTGTGGCCTGGGAATGCAGTGGAGGATGGCCTGAGTGCTTGGGCCCCTGCACCTGTGTGGGAAACCTGGAAGAAGATCCTGGTTCCTGGTTCGGATCAGCCTGGTTCTGTCCATTGTAACCATTTGGGGAGTGAACCAGAGGATGGAAGATCTTTCCCTGTCTTTCCCTCTCTTTGTCTATAACTCTACCTCTCAAATAAATAAAAAAATATTTTTTAAAAAGACATTTGCAACAAAATGAATACAACTGGAAACCATTACACATAGTGAAATAAGCCAGTCACAAAAAGACAAATACCATATGGTCTCTCTGATCTGTGGTAACTAATGGAGTACTCAAAAGGTAATCTATAGGAGTGAAACTGACACCTTGAGATGCGATGATTTTTAACAGCTCTTGACTGTCAAGGAACAATGTTATTCTTGTTTGTTTGTTTCTGTTCTTTTTTGTTCATACTATTGAGGGAATTCTCTACTTAATGTAGGGTTAATTTTACGAATAAAAAAGTAACTGAAAACTGACCTTTGTAAAAAAAAAAGAAAATAATGGGAAAGGGAGAGTGAGGAGGAAGAAGGAGGGGAGTATGGGCAGGAGGGAGGTAGGGGAGAAGAATCATCATGTTCCCAAATTTGTATATATTTAATACATGAAGTTTGTATTCCTTAAATAAAATTTTTAAAAAAAATTAAAAAGAAATATTTTTAAAGACCAGTTCTTTAACAGGAAAATAACTCACAATAAAAAACTTTGAAATATAATAATCTATATTAAATCATTAAAATTAATCTATATTAAAGCATTAAACTTTCATTGGAAGTTGGATAACAGTGAGTTCTTTTTCCTTTGAGCCTTTTCTCCCTAAGTCTTCTCATTGAACAGGGGAAAATGTAGTGAGCTGAAGGGCACTCCCATGCTTTAAAAAAAAAGCTTATTTATTGTTTATTTGAAAAGCAGAGCAAGATAGAGAAAGGGAAAGAGGGAGAAGGAAAGAGAAAGATTTTTCATCTGCTGGTATGCTCCCTAAATGGCCACAACAGGGAGGCAGGGTCAGGCCAAAGCCAGGAGTCTGAAACTCCATCTGGGTCTCCCATGTGGGTGACAGGGGCCCAGCTATTTGAGTCATCCTCTGCTGCCTTCCCAGGTGCATTAGCAGGAAGCTGGACTGGAAGCAAGGAGCCAGGACTCAAACCAGTACTCTGATATGGGATGACAGCATCACAACCACCACACCACACACTCGGTCCTACGCGCATGCTTGTTTGTTTTGTAAGATTTATTTATTTATTGGAAAGGCAGAATTACTGAAAGAGAAAGACAGAGGAAAGAGATCTTCCATCCACTGTTTTACTCCACAAATGGCCTCAATGGTAGGGGCTGTGCCAGACCAAAGCCAGGAACCAGGAACTCCATACTTGTCTCCCATGTGGCTGGCAGGGGGCCAAGTACTTGAGCCACTTGCTGTTGCTTTGCCAGGCAGGGAGCCAGATCAGAAGTGGAGCAGCTGGGACTCAAACCTGTGCTCATATGAGACGCTGGCATTGTAGGCAGTTGCTTCACCTGCTGTGCCACAATGCTTGTCCCACACATATTTTTAAGTTTCTAGGGGGTGGGTGTTTGGTGCAGTGGTTAAGATCCTGCTTGGGATGCCCACATTCCATATCAGAGTGCTGGTCTGAGTCTTGGCTCCTCTGCTTCTGATTCAGCCTTCTGCTAGTGTACACCCTGGGAGACAGAAGGTGATGACCCAAGTCTGAGGGTCCCTGCCTCCCATGCGGGAGACCCAGACTGAGTTCTTGGTTCCGGGCTTCAGACTGGCCTTGCTCCAACTATGGTGGGCATTTGAAGAGTGAACCCATAGATGGAAGATCTTTCCTGTTTATCTGTCTCTCTCTTTTTCAAATCAAACAAAAATACATAATTTTATAAAAAAAATTTTCCAGATAGTGATTACTTTTGAGTTTTCACTTAAACAAAAAAACTCTAATGTAAAAATGTGAATTAAATCTTAATAAAAACCATTTCAAGATAGAGCTAGGACAGATTTTTTAAATTATGACTTTCTTATAATGACAAGGACTTCATCATTTGAGCAGATACAAAATCCAGGACTATAATTTCTAAATCAAAATTGCAGCCATTAATCTTCCTGAGACCTTTCTCCCAGGTATTGGCCCTCCTCAGGCTCCCACATTCCATGTTTAGCCCTATTGGAATGTGCACACGGTACAGCGCTGGTTTCCCTGGCAATAAATGCCTTCAGTCTTCAAAGCAGAAACAGTGTTTTACTGGTTTATTTTAAATCTTAATCTGTTAGTAAATCAATAAATATTGCCAAAACAGACCTCAATCTGCTACAATAAATAAAGTTCAGACTTACTATATACCACTATAGGCTCTTGGTATAACTTGTCTCCAATTTTAACCTAGGAAGGTGGCTCAGGAATTGAATTATCAAAATTATACACATGCACACACCCTTCATGCAGGCCTTTGGCCTGGATCCCTAGGGTTAGAAGTATAAAAGGTTATTTTGTACAAGTTTACTAAAAATGTCTATAGAAAAACTTTAAAAATCAAATCCTGCTTGATCATCCCTTTTAAGTTCTATTCAATATAACTGAATTCAAGGACACAGCAAAAGAAATCTTGGGGCTGTCACAAAAGTAATGTCCAACACTTGCATGGTAAAAATGGGCTACTCTTAAAAAAAAGTAGTAGCATGATTATTAAAATAAGCAAACAAATGGGCAAATAGCTCAATGAAGCTCTAGGGAATGCACTGTGGCACAGTGGGTTGGTTAAGCTACTACTTGAGATGCCAGCATCCCATATTGAAGTGCTGGCTCAAGAACGGGCTGCTCAGCTTCCAATCTAGCTCCCGTTAACAAACTTGGGAAAGCAGTGGATGATGGCCCAAGTGCTTGGCCCACTGCCACCCATGTCAGAGAGCAGGACAGAGTTCTTAGCTCCCAGCTTTGGCCTGGCTCAGCCCAGTCTGTTGTAGCCATCTGGGGAGTGATCCAGTGGTGGGAGATCGATCTCTCTCTCCCTCACTGCCTTTCAAATAAATAAGTCAATCTTTTTTTAAACAATGTGAGTAAAGTAGCCACATGGAAAATTTTAATTGCAGCTTAAGACAGGCTAGAACAGATTTCAGGGACCTCTAAAAATACAATGCTAAGACGTACTTCACAATTTTACAGCTGCAGGGTTTCTAGGAAGGGAGAATGGGGAATTACTATTAAATGGGTCTAGAGTCTCAGTGTTGGAAGGTGAGAAAAACTTGGTGGTGGGATAGTGGCGATGTCAGTACAAAGGGAACACTCTGTACCTGGCTGAATGGCATTAAAATGGTCAAGGTGGTGTATTCTATGTTATATATATATCTCATACTTTTTTAAAAATTGAAGAGTTTCCACAATTACAGGCACCAATTACCATTCTATAAAGTGTGTAGGTCTGAAACGCCAGGCTGAGATCAGCATTCTGAAGGATGTTCAACAAGGTGTCAGGGGTCTCTTTGAGCCACTGCTTGCAGGCGTTATTTTCACTGTATTTGATTACAGAACCACCTAGAGGGAAAAGATAAAAATTAGCACCAAATAAAAAAAAGATGTTCGGCATCTGTCTCCCAGATCACATTTCAGGCTGTCGCTCCCCCTCTTCGTGGAGGAACGACACAGGACCCTGTGCTGTTCTTTTGTCTGCTCGGCCCTCCCCGGGTTTGCTGCTGGTTCTTCCCGGGTTGGCTACCATCCCTTCCACCTCCGTGGAAGGGCGGTTCCCCCTGCCACATTCCCCACTTCTGCGGGGGAGCGGCACACCACCGGCCGGTATATATATATATATCACACACACACACACTGTATCTACATACAATGAAACATTAGCCATAAAAAGGAATGAAGCACTATTACATGCTCAAAGTGTATAAAACGCTACAAGTGTATAAGATGAACCTGCAAAACATTATGCTACGTGGAAGAAGACAGTCACCCATCCTATTTCTGTGATATTCAGAATAAGTAAATCCAGTGCATGAAAACTGGTATTTGCCAGGGGCTGAAAGAAGGAGGAATGGGGAGTAACCGCTTCACTGAACTTGGGTTTTGTTTTGGGGTTATGAAAATGTCCTGGAACTAGTTAGAGGTGGTGATTGCACAACCTTGTAAATGTGCTACATACCAATGCCAATGAACTGTATATTTTTTAAAAAGTTCTTTCTTTAGCTAAAAGGCAGGGCAACAGCAACAGAATGAGAGATGGAGAGAAAGGGATCTTCCGTCTGCCAGGGCTGAACCAGTCTGAATCCAAGAGCCAGGAAGGTCAATCCAGGACTCCCATGTGGATAGCAGGGACCCAAGTACTTGAGCTATCTTGGTAGCATTAGTGGGAAGCTGGATCAGAAGTGGAGTGAGGATTAAAACACAGGCACTCTGACATGGGATGTGACGTCCCAAAGCCTGTGCCATATACCCACCCCAATGATATAGTTTAATATGGCTTATTTGATGTTCTGTGAATTTTACCTCCATTAAAGCATTTTTTAAAAGATTTATTTGAAATGCAAAGTTACAGAGAGAGAGAAAGAGAGAGCGAGCGAGGGAGAAAGAAAGATCTTCCACCCACTGGCCTACCTCCCAAATGGCCCCAAGGGAGCTAGCTAGAAGCCTCATCCGGGTGTCCCACGTTGGGGAGAGAGGCCCAAGCACTTGGGCCATCTTCGGCTGCTTTCCCAGGAATTGCAGCAGCCAGGACTCGAACCGACGGCACTATGAAATACCAGCGTGGCAGGCCTTGGCTCTACCTGCTATGCCACAGCGCTGTCCCCTATTAAAATATTTTTTCCCCTCAACCGAATTTTCAGATGCAGAATTATAATCAGACATTACAATGCATGCTAACAATGCAGTTTCTGAATCTTTAGAAGCTGTCCGAAGTTTATATATGTATATATATATATATATATATTAACTTCAATTCCACTCAATGTGCCATGGAAGACTATAGGGCCTGAAGTAGTATATAGGCAATGCTATCACTCCTTTTCCATTTGGATAAGCTAGGCAGACAGCTAGTCCCAACTTTCACTCTAGAAATCCAGCAGGGTCTCCTACCCTGGCAAGTAATAGCTGCAGCCTCCCGCCCATTTTGCAGACGTTTGATAAGAAGCTTAACGCCCTAGCCTCAGGCCGAGACCTAAGTCTCCTAGGGCCTCGCGGGAATCAGACAGCTGGGGTCCGCCTCCCGCGACATCCGAGCTTCTTAGCCCCGCCCTTCACTCAAACCCCACCCCTTCCGCCCTCTGTCCCCGCCTCCCATGCCCAGCCCGCCAATCGGAAGTGCAGCCGCCGGAACAGGCTGTTGGCAGGGCTGCCTCACCGCGACGCACAACGGGCGAGTGGGCGTTGCGGCCGAGAGGCGGGGAGCGTCTGAGGCCCAGCGGGACGCCGGTGGTCCACACAGGTGCGCCGTGGCGGGGCGGTGGCACGATCCGCGGCCTGCAGGCAGGTGGATTAGGCGCGAGATTCGGCTGCGGTCCGAGGTGAGCGAGGGCTTGCCGAGCTGCTTTCCGTAACCCGCAGCGGGAAGACGGTACCCCTCGGAGGTTCATCACAGGCGCAAAGCCTGCGACACTCTGGGCAGACACCTCGGTTTCCCTTGACGGTGCGGCTAAGGTACTCGTTTAATTTTAGATTCTTGAGTTCCAGTTACGGGTATTTTCGGAAAACTCGCAAGAATTTTGCGTAACGCGTCTTAGGGGGCGGGTTTCTTGGTGTCCATGTTGAATAAAGGCCGGTTGCTCCACTATGGAGTTGGCGGCCTTTCGCAGGTGAAGCCCAAGTCGTTACGAAAGCTCGTGTAGTTGGAGAGACTCAGGTCGCTCAGGGAAATAGAGGAGATTGATTGAGACGTGTAGAATTGGATTCGTTACCGGCCCTTGCGGTGGGTGCCTGGCGTTCAGGAATGAACTTGAAACGCTGCGCCCTGAACCCCTGCATAGTGGGGAGCTGCGTCTGACTGGGTGCAGGGCATCAAAGCCCTTAGTAGGACTCGAAATGCAAAGTAGTTAACACGAATCTAAAGCGATAGATGACCAGTAGTACGGGTGTCCTATAAAAGATCAAAATTCAGAAAAAAACGTGTTAGTCTCTGAGCAGAATCAGTTCTTACTTAAACGCTTAAGAGAATCTAAAAATGGGTGCTGGTTTGAGTGGTCTGTATGGGAACCTAGGATTAGAAACTGAAAGAGGTCTCAATTCCTGTCTAGGTCTGTGTTTTTAGAAATGTCACTGGTTCTGAGGGCCTTATTCTGTATAACGAAGATGATGATGACAATTTTTTTTTCGTAGGTTCTAGTAAATTTTTGAGGCACAATGTTTTGTCAGAGATGCACGAAGTTACTTACTGGTTTTTAACTTCAGTACTTCACATAATTTAAATTTATTAACCACCTCTTTGATTTAGTGACAAAAATTGTTAATTTTAAAGCATTACATTTAAAGCCCTGAATATGTAGTGTACCTTCATCTTTAGATTTGGTGGTTAGAAATTTTTCATCTTAACCTAATTTCAATCAACAACTCCTATGAGGGCAGGATTAACCTTTTTTTTATTTTTTTATTTTTTTTTTTAGTTTAATTTATTTGAGAGGCAGAGAGACATTCACTTTCTGAATGCCTGGCAACAGCCAGGGAAGGGCTAGGGCAAAGTCATGAACTAGGAACAACCCAAGTCTCCAGTGTAGGTGGCTGGGACCCAACCACTTGAGCTCCAGGAAGCTGGAATCTGAAATGGAACAGAGAATGGGACTTAAGACAGTCCAGCATGAGATGCCAGCATCCCAAGTGGCTTCTTAACTGCTGCATCAAGGCCTGCCCCGCCCCCTCCAAAGATGAATGTCTACCTTGTTTTTAGTGATTAATCCTGTAGTCCTGGAACCTGTGCAGTGCCTGTGATGTACTTACATTAGGTTCTTAGGGCTTTTTTTTTCCTAGTTTTTTTTTTCTTTTTAAACTCATACTGGCAAAAATCTAAGATTACTCTTAGAGTAAACGTTACCATCTCTGTGTTAAGCCAAGAAGACAGCAATGGACTTCAACATTGGCAGCACCTTTGAATCACCCGGGAAGCTTAAACATGCTGATTCCAGGCCCCAGTCCAAACCACTAATCAAGACCTTTGGGAGGTAGAGCATGGGCACCCCACTGTTTAAAGCCCCACGGATTACTTTGTTGAATATTCAGGATGAAACCCTTGTGTTAGAGGAAAGAGGTTCTAGAGTGTGTCTGGTTTGTTTGAGGAGAGGAAGTGCTAAAGGGACTCAAGGGATTGGAGCTACATCTGGAAAAATGTAACCTGAGGCATTTTTGGGGATATTATTCGAGAATTTTATCAGCAGGCATGATGAAATTGATTTTTTTTTTTTTTTTTTTTGACAGGCAGAGCAGACAGTGAGAGAGAGAGAGACAGAGAGAAAGGTCTTCCTTTGCCGTTGGTTCACCCTCCAATGGCGCCGCAGCCAGCGCACCACGCTGATCCGAAGGGAGGAGCCAGGTACTTCTCCTGGTCTCCCATGGGGTGCAGGGCCCAAACACTTGGGCCATCCTCCACTGCACTCCCTGGCCACAGCAGAGAGCTGGACTGGAAGAGGGGCAACCGGGACAGAATCTGGCACCCCGACCGGGACTAGAACCCGGTGTGCCGGCGCCGCAAGGCAGAGGATTAGCCTAGTGAGCCGTGGCGCCGGCGATGAAATCGATTTGTAAAATGAACATATATTGATTAAGGCCAGTGAGTAGTCTACTAGAATAACTCAGAGGAAGAGTGAGAGCAGCAACAGTGATGATAGAGAAAAGATTGCAGAAATACTAATTTTTTCCCAGAATGTTAATATTTTTGGAATAAAAAATACGATTTTAATTTGCAAACTGTAGTTTTCCTTACCTAGTTGAAGTTATGTTTCAGCAGTGATACATTGCTTTTATTGTTGCAGAAAAATCTATGAGAAATATATTTGATAATTATTAAATAACCTTGATAGCTTAATATTAATGAATGTTTTATTGTTTTTGCTTTTATAGTATGTGCAAATTTCATATTAAAGAAATGGTCTTCATCCTGCTTCATCAATGCCCATAAATTTCTCTTCTTTTCAGACTCCTGTTTTATGCCGAAATGGTAAGTCCCTTATGTTCAAATATGTTTTGGAATGTTGTAGTCCATCCTCTCTATAAAGATGTTTGTATCGTAGGTAAAGAGATACTATCTACTGCAAAAGGGTGAGTGTAAATTCAAATAGTTTTTAGGGGCACAAGTTTCTCATGTTAAAGTTTCTTTTTATTTAGCTATTTTTAATTTAAAAACAAATATAATATATGTGCTTAGAGCATATATTTTAAGCAGCATTGATGCTAACCTTCTAATGGCACATTTCTGTTCATTGACTTAGCAATCACTAAACAACTTCAGTCATAGGCATTTAAATTTGCCATTAGAAAATTAAAGATGAAGAAACGCCACTTTCTAATATTTTTAAAGAAGCAGCAACATTTGACAGTGAGAGAATGAGTACTGAGTACCATGTTGAATAATTCATCCATTCAGATAAACCCCTGTTCTGTAGCACAAACTCAGAAAATCTTCCTTCTTCTTTTGGAATCTTGCCTGTTTGCCCCTACTCTAATAGAAAAAAGTGGAACTATCATAGTGTGCCTCTGACCACAATTTATACTTTGCACCTATATTGCCTGATTATTTCCTTCTGAAGTATTTGAATGAGGTAGGGAATGAATCTCGTGCAAGTACTAGTACACCTTGCTTCAATCCTGGGAATCAATTTCAATGGAAATCTGTTCCTTATAAGATTTTTTAAATGGAGTCAATTGGTATAAATTTCTTTTAACTGAACCTTTTGAGATTACAGCAAATTTCAGACTTTTCTTCACTTACTACATTTAGATGTTTTATAATGTTATTTTTGATCACAGTCTAAAAAAAGGTCAGGTTTTTTTGGTAGTAAGAATTCTCCATCCACAAGCTAGGGTGGCAGGATCACTTGAAACTTCCCATGAATTCCCCCTACCCTTTCGAGATATTGGTAGGTGCTGCTAGTTTATACTACATGTAGTTTATACCACATGTATAGGTTGAATGATTGGAATCTGCCAAATAAAACAGAAAAATTTGGGTCATTTTGTACATAAAAAGTGTGCCTCTGAATGACTATCATTGTGAATGAAAAATTCTATCAATCTATGTGGTCCCATCTCAAAAAATAAAAAATACTGTTGGTATATTTAACTTTATTTAGAACCTAGTACTTTTTATTCAGATGTGCCTTTAATAAAGAGAGCTTCACAAATGAAGAAGACATGGCTTACTTTTTTCATATTTCTCCTTTTTGCCTTAAAATAAGGCACTAAGAAATGGATGAAGGATGAGAGTCTACTAGTAGATATCAGGCCTTACATGTTGTAATAATACTATATTTCATCAATTATAAAATGCAATTTCTTTTATATTTTTAATATTAATAAATTGATGAGTTTTCAGTGACAACTTAGAATTATAATTGGCAGCATATATTTATCTTTCTTAGTTTTAACAAAAAATAATGATGCTTGCTAGTATTAGTGTATTACCCTTGTCCAAAATGCTTGAGGCCAGAAGTATAGTGAGATATCTTGGGGACAGGACCCAAGCTTAAACACAGAATTCATTTATGTTTCATATGTACCTAATACTCATAACCTGAAGGTAATTTCACATAATAATTTTTTACAAGTAACAATGTTTTGGTGTAAAAAGACAGCATGTCTGCTCAAAAAGTTTCAGATTAGGAATACTCAGCCTGAATCTGATGATAAATTAATTGAAATATGGTAATGATAGCCCTCTTTAATTGCATTCTTACTAGGCAGTGAGCTGGAGATGTTTTAAGTTCCTTGCATTTTTATATTTGACATTTCTATCTTGAGGTTAAGTACCACCACAACCTCACAGTCAGCTTGCAGGATTCCTAGCAAATTAGGAGAGTTTAGTTTTTGCTTCACTTTTATTATATACTGTATGTACACTTATTTTCCTGAATGGTACTCTAAGAGTGTTGAAGTGAATAAGTTAATGTTTATAAAGTAGTAATAGCTACCATATCTAGCCCTTCTCTATATCAACCTCACAGGCACTGGCTAGAGACCCATTCTAGTATTTCCATTTAGTTTGTTGTCATAACCAGGTGCTTAAGATTGTCATATTTTTTCTTTG